CTTAGGGACCAAATCTTAGGGAGCAGGGCTTGCGATTTTGCCCCCCCAAATGTTGTTCCTACCCCTTTCCCGTTTTGTGTGGTATTTGCAGGACTTTTGCAGAGTGCCAAGGGGATCCCGGCAAATTTTGACCGGCAAATGTTGTTCCTACCCTTTCCCGTTTTGTGTGGTATTTGCAGGACTTTTCCAGGGCACCAAGGGGATCCCGGCAGATTTGGACCCGCGAAGTTGTTCCTACCCTTTCCCTGTTTGTGTGGTATTTGCAGGACTTTTCCAGGGCGCCAAGGGGATCCCGGCAAATTTTGACCGGCAAATGTTGTTCCTACCCTTTCCGGTTTTGTGTGGTATTTGCAGGCCATGTGCACGGTGCCAAGGGGATCCCGGCAAATTTTGACCCCCAAATGTTGTTCCTACCCTTTCCCGGTTTGTGTGGTATTTGCAGGACTTCTGCAGGGTGCCATGCAAGGGGATCCCGGCAAATTTTGACCGGCAAATTTTGTTCCTACCCTTTCCGGTTTTGTGTGGTATTTGCAGGCCATGTGCACGGTGCCAAGGGGATCCCGGCAAATTTTGACCTCTTAAATGTTGTTCCTACCCTTTCCGGGGTCTTCCCCCTGCTCGCCCCCTGGGGGCCTCATTTTTTTGGTTTTGAACGGCCACCACCACCACCACCACCACCACCACCACCACCACCAGACAATACCACAAAAGAAAAGCCCCATTTTGTTAACCTCATTTTTTGGTTTTGAACGGCCACCACGACCACCACCACCACCACCACCAGACAATACCACCAAAAAAAAAAAAACATTTTGTTAACCTCATTTTTTGGTTTTGAACGACCACCACCACCACCACCAGACAATACCACCAAAAAAAGCCCCATGTTGTTAACCTCATTTTTTGTTTCAAACGGCAACCACCACCACCACCACCACCACCACCAGACAATACCACCCAAAAATAACCCCATTTTGTTAACCTCATTTTTTGGTTTTGAACGGCCACCACCACCACCACCACCACCAGACAATACCACAAAAGAAAAGCCCCATTTTGTTAACCTGATTTTTTTGGTTTCTAACGGCAACCACCACCACCCCCGCGAGGAGCACACCCTGCGAATGACGCATGCTTATGCACTAAATTGAGAGGTTTAAGGGTTTGGGGATTTTTGGGTTTATGGGTCTAGTAGTTTCAGTTTATGAGGGGGGGGGGGGGTAGCGGGGGGGTCTCCCCCCTGCTCGCCCCCTGGGGGGCCTTGAGGGGAAGGGGGGAGCTCGAGGGGGGCAAGCCCTCGATCCAGAGGGTGCGGGGGGCGGAGCCCCCCGCGAACGGTGGTGAATATTTGAGTTTTTCAGACTGAAGATGATGGGAGATGATGGAGATGAAGAAGATGATGAAAGATGAGGAAGATGAAGAAGATGATGCAAGATGACGAAGATGATGAAGATGATGAAGAAGATGAAGGTGATGAAGATGATGAAGATGAACGAGCTGAGGGAGATGAAGCAGATGATGAAGATGAGGGAGATGAGGGAGATGAAGAAGATGATAAAGATGAAGATGATAGAGTTCAACGAGCTCAGCGAGATGAAAGAGATGAAGGAGATGATGAAGATGATGGAGATGATGGAGATGATGAAGATGAAGGAAAAAAAGGATATTAAGGAGATGACGAAAAAGATGAAAATGATGATGCCCCCCCCCCTCCCAGAATTAAATAATTTAAAAAATTTAAATCCGAAACGCCCTTTCGGATTTAAAATATTTAAATTATTTAATTCTGGGAAGGGGGGGGGCCCGGTCCTGCCCCCCCCCCTTTTCGGATTTAAATTATTTAAATTATTTAAATTATTTAATTCAGGGGGGGGAATTAAATAATTTAAATAATTTAAATCTGAAAGGGTGGGTTCGGATTTAAATTATTTAAATTATTTAATTCCCCCCCCCGGAATTAAATAAAATCTGAAAGGGGGGGTTCGGATTTAAATTATTTAAATTGTTTAATTCCCCCCCCCGGAATTAAACAATTTAAATAATTTAAATAATTTAAACAATTTAAATAATTTAAATCCGAAAAGGGGGGGGGGGGGCCAGGCGCAGCCACCCTCCCCCTCCCCAGAAATTAAATAATTTTAAATAATTTTAAATCCGGCACGCCCCTTTCGGATTTAAATTATTTGAATTATTTACTTCTGGAGGGGGAGGGGCCGGGGCCTGCCCCCCCCACCCCCCCCTTTTCGGGATTTTAAATTTATTTAAATTCTATTAAAATTTATTTAAATTATTTAATATCCGGGGGGTGAATTAAATATTTTAAAAATAATTTAAAAAATCTGAAAGGGGGGTTCGGAATTTAATTTTTTAAAAAATTATTTAATATCCCCCCCCCCCGGATTAAAAATTTAAATAATTTAAATAATTTAAATAAATTTAAATAATTTAAATAATTTCAATAATTTAAAATAATTTAAATAATTTAAATAATTTAAATAATTTAAATCCGAAAAGGGGGGGGGGCCAGGCCCAGGCCCCCTCCCGCTCCCAGAATTAAATAATTTAAATAATTTAAATCCGGGACGCCCCTTTCGGATTTAAATTATTTAAATTATTTAATTCTGGGAGGGGGAGGGGGCCTGGGCCTGCCCCCCCCCCTCCCCCTTTTCGGATTTAATTTATTTAAATTATTTAAATTATTTAAATTATTTAAATTATTTAAATTATTTAAATTCCGGGGGGGGAATTAAATAATTTAAATAATTTAAATCTGAAAGGGGGGGTTCGGATTTAAATTATTTAAATTATTTAATTCCCCCCCCCCGGAATTAAATAATTTAAATAATTTAAATAATTTAAATAGTTTAAATAATTTAAATAATTTAAATCCGAAAAGGGGGGGGGGGCCAGGCCCAGGCCCCCTCCCCCTCCCAGAATTAAATAATTTAAAAAATTTAAATCCGGAACGCCCCTTTCGGATTTAAATTATTTAAATTATTTAATTCCTTGCCCCAGACCCCCCAGAAACGATAATAGGGTCTATTTGGAAGTTGTCTCTTGTAAATAAGTATACGTTTTGGGGCCTTATTTCCTCTTTAAAACACGAGTCTCAGCTTCCAAATAGACCCTATTTAAGCTGCACACCCCCCCCCCCACCCCCGCCCCACGCCCCCCCACCCACCCCCCCCCAAACGTTTCACAGAACTCTGCCGAGCAGGCCATGCGAGCGGGTTTAGACCTCTCAACTATGCTCCAGCGGGGTCGGCGGCTTGAGCCGGAGGCTCTTAAATCCGGCCCCCGCGCCGCCCGTGGTCCAGGGCGGAGCCCGCGTCGCACTAAAGCGCTAGCTTTAAGGGGCGAGCGCCCGAGCCGCCAACCCCGCCCAAAATTGCTTCAAATTCGCGCGGGGCCCTTCGGGAGGCCTCCAAATTTCAAAACAGCATCCAAGGCGACGCAACACGCGGTGGTGCGAAAAGCACGAAAACCACGTAAAAACCATGGTTTTTTACGAAAAACCGAGGCCACAAAACACCCGCAGCACCCCATTAAACCCTCACAGGCGCGCATCATCGACCCTAGCTTTTCACATGGGGCGCGCACCAGGCCGAAACCACGTTTTTCAAGGTTTGGGGGGGGTACCGGAAGCCCAAAACCAGGCGAGCATCATGAGCATCAGCAGCCCTGGCCCGCGGCCCGAAGGCAGTAAAAAACGCTGAAAAACGCTGAAATCACCGTAAATACCGTGTTTTTATGAGGTTTTTCACGTGTGCCTCCGACCCCCACCCCTGTTGCCCTTGACCCGCCCCCAAAGTGCGCATCATCGAAACCCACGTCCGGGGGGGGGTCTGCTGATGCTGCTGATGCGCGGGGTCCGGGCGCATCATCGAGCCATCGCTTCTCATGGGCTTCGTGGGGGGGTCCGGGCCGACGGCCCAGAGACCCAGCTGATGCTCACGATGCTTGTTTTGGGGGGGGTTCCAACAGCAGAAAACCTCGTAAATACCGAGTGTTTTGTGGGTCCACGTAAGAACGCCCCTAAAATCGCTCATTTTACGCGATCGAACGGCTTCGTGCCTACAAAACATCCGAACAGCAGGACCCCGAATGCCCTTAAGGGCATTCGGGGTCTTGCTTTTGGGGGTTTCGTGGGCACGCAAGCGTTCAAGCACATACAATCGGCGTGTTTAAGCGGGTTTTGGATGGCCTGGGGGAGGCCGCTGATGCTCATGATGCCCCCTTTCCTGGGTCCCAAAAGGCTTCCCAAGCCCAAAAAACACGTGTTTACAGCGTTTTCTGAAGGTTTTTCGAAGGCAAAATGCATGCATAGAATGCTTTTAAGGCCCCCAAACCAACCCCACTGATGCTCCTGATGGGAGGGGGAGGGAGGGGGGGCGAAGGCAGGAGAAAGAGAGACAGAGAGAAGGAGAGGACAAAGACACGGGAAAGAGAAGACAGTGCCAAGGTTCAAGGTTTCGTGCTTTGGGGGGCGGGGGCCGGCCCGTGCCGCTAGGCCTGAAATTTAGGGTTTAGGGTTTAGGGTTTAGGGTTGTGGGTTTAGGGTTTAGGGTTTAGGGTTTAGGGGTCCTGGGCTCTTTGAGAGCCGGTGAAGCTTCATCCTCACCTCTCTGTCTTTCTTTTTGATATGGGCGCTCGGGCTCTGAGGCCCTCGGCCATAGCATCCGGGGTTCTGCTTAGATAAACAATGATGCTATAATAATACAAAACACAAAATATCAATAACATCGCTACTATATGCTATTTAGAACAATAGCAATGTTGAGAACAACAAGCAATATTAGCTTCTCAAGAATAGGACACAATATATATATATATATATACACATATAATCACACGAATTAACAGCCATATTAAAATACGAAGTAACTATTAAACAAAATATATATATATATATATATATATATATATATATAGCTTCAAGAATCGTAACAATACTAATAGGGTATAGGGAGGCCCCGCGGTGTGAAGTCCCTCCCTGGGGCCTGTGGGGCGCGGAGGGCGATGGAGGCGACCCGCTGGGGTCCAACTCTCCATGGCATCCATGGCTGCAGCAGGAGAGCGAGTAGGGCTTAGGGTTTAGGGTTTGGTTTGGGGTTTAGGGTTTAGTTTAGGGTGGTGACTGTACGGTCCTAGATGGTTTATAGGGTCCTTGGGTTTAGGGCTTTGGGTGTGTGTGTGTGTGTGCGCGCGTGTGTTTGTTGTGTTTTGCTCCGGGGTTAAGCGGGTTCTGTGACCGAGGTCGAAGGCTTGAAAGGGGTTGAGGGCGTTAGGACGGGGACTCTGGGGGCTGCAGGTTTAGGGTTTAGGGTTTAGGGTTTAGGGTTTAGGGTTTAGGGTTTAGGGTTTAGGGTTTGGGGTTTGGGGTTTGGGGTTTAGGGTCACGGTCGAAGGTTCAACTCTACACCGTACACTCCTAAAACCTGGGACCCAAAAAACTCTCAACCCTACAGCCTGCACTCTCTGAGCACAAGGATCCTCAACAAAAGGCTCTGTGGGAGTGCCATATGTGGACATGAAGCTAACCCGCCCTTCCGGTTTCCACAAGAGCCACCAGGGGCGCCGCGGTGAGCAGTGGGATGCCACCTCTTAGTGGCGCGCGATAGGGCTTATTTGGAGGCTCATGGGTAGTTATAAGTAGTTATACGTAGATCTTCGCGGTCAGAAGTAGCTATAAGAAGTGCTACGTAGTTAGAAGTAGGGCTACAAGAAAATCTGGGTGCAACATCTCGACAGCTTGTTCGAAGTACCCATGAACTCCAAGTAGGGGGCTTACATTGGGGGATGTAAGCTACCTCAGTACATACTTCCCTACAGACAACAAGCCTGCTAATCCTGAAGATCCCAACTAAGCGAAACCTCCTTCTTGTCCCCCCCCTTGGAGGCGCTACATCGGCGTCTATTTAGGGGGGAGGGGGGAAAGGGGCGGGGTAACCCAAAAGGGTACTAACTTAGAGAACTGACCATATGATCCCAACTATTGGGGCTATTGCGGCTATAGTCATGCAATTTTGGGGCTATAGTCATGCAATTTTGGGGCATCTGATCCAAAGAGTACATCATCCCAACCTGAAGGGGTGTAGCAGAGCAGGCCAGATGATAAGGTTCCTTGGGTACGAAGAGGAGCGCGATCCTACCGCAAGGTTCCAGGGCAGTACTGCAAACGCTACCATAGGGTCGGGATTTCTGGTTGCGGGGGTCAATCGTTTTTGAGTTGAGGGTAGCTTAGGGCTTGGGTTTTTGGTTTTTGTGTCGCCTTCCCCTCCCTCCCTGAAATGGGTACATTGCACCTTGAGGAAGAAGGGAGGAGACGGCGTGACAACCGCCGCATGCACCCGGCAGTGCTCGTGGCACATGAACCCTAAACCCTAAACCCTTAACCCTAAGCCCTAAACCCTAAATCCCAAATACCCAACACTCTAAACCCTAAATCCCAAACCCTAAGCCCACTTTTCTCGCGGGGCCGTCGTGTCTTTAAGGCAGCGTGCGCTGGCTGCGGTGAAAACTGCTCGCATCAAAGGGGGGCAGGTCTTTTGCTTTCTCGGTGGACTGTAACCCAGATGTTTTGGGTTTAGGGTTTAGGGTTTCAGGTAGTTGGTGACTCTGCATGAGTGCTGAAGAGCTGCAGGCAAAAAAAGAGCCACCCTGTGGTGCAGCCGATATGCTCGAGTTCTTTCTCCCTTGCGACACGCTCTTGAAAGTTCCTCGAGCATTTCGCGGGAAGCCCGTAAGGCCTCCATAAACGAATGCGTACTACAGGAGCCTGAATAAATGCCAACACCCCACACTTATAACTTGCAACTTCAAACTTTTTACAATTTTGCAAGTATACTACCCGTTCTAACAAAATAGGCCCATACACCCTAAACCCTAAACCCTAAACCCTAAAGCCCGTTTTCTTACATCTCTCCCGTAGCTTGGGAGGTTGGCAGGCTCATGCCCACTGTACCGAGGCTGTCATACTGTACCAACTGCACGGATCGAATCAAAAGTTCGGCAAAACAGGAAATCCGCATGATGACGGCCCTAAACTCTAAACCCTAAACCCTAAACCCTAAACCCTAAACCCTAAACCCTGAAGCGTGGTGAGGGTTCGGGCTTGAACTTTTAGGGTTCAGGGCTCTCAAGATGTGAGTGGCCCCTCGAAAAAGAATGCACAAGCCCCAAAGTAAGTACTAAAATGGTGCCGCCGTACAGCAGTACCCAGAGACTCCAAAACCCCTTAATTAAGGAATATGCCTTAAATCATATTAGGGTTCCTATTCTGATTTAGGGTATATTCCTTAATTAAGGGGTTCTGGAGTCTCTGGGTAGTGGCTGAATAGGGCTCAGGGTTTAGGTTTGAGGGTTTACAGTAGGGGCCAATTTCTTCTGACTGGGTCTGGAACGAGGCTGCCGCTGTCAACCCTATAAGCCCTAAACCCTACGGTCTTTTTTGCGGGTCCAAGTAAGCATGCGGGAAGACGGGTACTTTGGGCAAGCTGAGCAGGCTTTGGGGCTCTGGTCGTTTAGGGTTTAGGGTTTAGGGATTTCAGGTGCGAGGTTTAGGGTGTAGGCTTAGGTGTTCAGGGTTGAAGGATTTCAGGATTTAGGGTTGGGGTTCAGGGATTTCAGGCTTCAGGGGTTTAGGGCTCAGGGTTTTCGGGGTGGAACCTGCTCGCCCAGCCAATGCTCCTAGGGTTTAATGACGTGTCAGGGCTTCCAGATGTGGATTTAGGCGGGGTTGAACAGGGACTTGAAGTGATAGGTTATGGGTTTGGGGGCTACTAAAAGAGTTGCGGGCATTAGGGGTCTGCGACACCCCAAACCCGGAGGGATCTGCGTTTGTTATGGCCAGGGTCACGCTAGCTTCTTTTATGCACTCGCCTCATCTCATCCGTGCAAAAAGCATTGACATTAGGCTCTCAGAAGCCACTGTGATTATGGTTCAGGACTCCTGTGCTGGGCAGAGGCTTTGCGGGGCCACGCTTGACGGAAAGGATTCAAGGGCTGGGGGCCTTAAACCCTGAACCCTAAACCCTAAAACTGCTAGAGGCTTTGGGTCGAGATTGTAGGAGGTCCGAGCCCTTAGTGAGCTCACGAGGCGCGTGCAGAAAGTCCGACAAAAGGAGCTGCTCCAAGCACCAAGGCCCATGATTCCTAAACCCTACACCCTAAAACCCAAAAACCATTAGACCCTAAGCCCTGAAACCCTAAGACCTCAAAACCCTAAGACCCTGAAATCTTAAAATCCTGATGCCCCAAACCCTCCCAAAATCCTAAAACTCTAAAAGCTCCCAACCCTCGGAGCGGCCCTGACCCCCTCAAAACTGCAAGCCAATTCCGAACTGTTCAAGGTTTAGGCTTACGGTTCAAGGGTCCGAGTGGAGTGTTTTGCACAAAGGGTCATGGTGCTTGGATAGAGACTCCTTCGGATGTGCCCCCTTATACTAACAGTCCATAATAGGGAGTACTATAAGCCCTGTTAAGGACTGTTTGTATAAGGGGGAACATCCCAACCCTAAACCCTAAACCCCAAGCCCTAAAATTCTTTTTTAAGGGGAAACATGCAATGGGACTCAGGCCGACAGAGTACGTAACAACATTGCCTGGCCCCCCTCTGAGGTTTGAGGTTGAGGGCTCAGGGTTTGGTGATAACTGTACCGACTTTATGAGTACGTGGACTCTAAAAAGCCTAAACCCTAAACCCTAACCCCTAGACCGTAACCCCTAAACAGTAACCGTAAATTGTAAACACTAAACCCTAAACGGGGGGAGGAGGACCAACTCCCGAAACCCATCGAGAATCTTGTTTGGATGGCTTGGGTATAGGGTTTATGTTTAGGGTTTAGGGTTAGGGTTTAGGGTTTAGGGTTTAGGGTTTGGGGTCTAATTAGGGTTTAGGCTTTAGGGTTTAGTTTAAGAAACACCGATTTAACTTCCCGAAGCCCGACAAAGCTTACTACAAGCCCTTTCCCGCCTGGTCTCAGGGCTTCAGTCCTGCCAAAAGCGCATCGCTCGGGCCCAAGCCCCAACAACCCTAAACGCCAAAACCCACCATAAAAACCCTAAACGCCCTAAAAACCCTAACTCCCGAAAGAACCCAAAATGACACAACACTGCAAACCCGAAAGCAACCACAAACCCTTCAGTGCTGAAACGGATGCACGGGAACTTTCTCTGCGCGGAAGGTCGGCTCGGTACTCGTCTGGCACGTTTGAGGCGTTCAGGTGCAGGGCTTAGGCTACTAATTGCTTAGTTAAGAAGCCCCCAAAAATAAAAAAACAAAATAATAAGGGTAATACAGGGATTATAAATGTTTATTCTGTTGGGGTTCTTAAGCAAATAGTAGTAGTGTTTCGGATTGAGAGATTGAGCTAGAAGTGGGGCTGGCAGGTCCCCTTGCTACTGAGTACAGAGCTCAGGCTTTAGGGTGTCAGAAGACCTAAAAACCCGATAAGCCATAACCCCCCACCCCTTTCCCGCCCCCCCCCCCACCCCTAAACGCTAAACCCTAAACCCTAAACCCAAAACCCAAAACCCAAAACCCAAAACCCTAAACCCTAAACCCTAAATCCCCCCCAAAAGGTCCTCTCTCCCAGGCGTCCACGACAATCGAGGAGCCACACAGGTCCGCGCCGTTCAAAGCCGACTTCGCAGCCTGGGCCTCCTCTGCCGTGGCATACCTTAGGCTGAACGTGGTTTAGGGTTTAGGGTTTAGGGTTTAGGGTTTAAGGTTTAGGTGTTGCGCACTTGAACAAAAATAATTACGCCCCAACCCCCGAAAGGTTTAGTGTGCCTAACCTGAAACCCGAAAGCCACATCCCTAACTTGCAAAGAGCCTAAACCCAAACTCTAAAAGTCCGAAGTCTAAAGCCGCAAACCCCTAACAGCAGACCCGGAAGAAACCTCGGAGCTTCCGGACCACTCAGCAAGCCATCTTCTCCTTTAGCAGCTTCAGACGTAGAGGGGATCACTAAACACTGAAGCGACCATTTTAAGGGCGGAGTCTTGGGATGTTCCCCCTTAGTCCTTAAATCGGGATTATAGTACAGTACCCCTATGGT